TCAACACCACTTGGTTTTGAAGTGAAAAATTAACGAAGGCAGGGTTGGCATCCTACCACTCCTCCCTGTGATCTGTCCGGATCCTTCGTGTACCACACAGCCTCGTCTGCAAGCATGTTACTCAAGACCGTTGTCATGGGGACAGTCGGTGAGGAACACATAGCTCTCCCCCTGTGTCACGCATGAAGGCCGGGCCAAGCCCTACCTTGAGAGCCTCAAGCTCACTCTCCACCTGCTTGGAGAAGTTCTCGCTGTGCTCACGGAGCTTCCGTTCCTTGGCAGCCTCGGCCATGGCATCCTCAAGCTGCACTTCCAGCTGTGAAGGGTAAAGATGGTTTTCATGAACGCTAGCACCACCGCGCCACCTAAATCTCTACCAAAAGGACCTCCAGCAAACAGTATCCTGAAAGAGCTTTGTGCTTCTTCAGCCTTCATCAAATTGTACAAGTTGAAAGTTGAGAAATACACTCCAGGGCTTGATCAGGATGGTTGATTAGTAATAAAACAGGCTTAGAATTTAACTTAAATTGATAATTTAGTATTATATTATTGTTCCATCTGTAATTGGAACATTAATTCTTAATCTGAGGTTTTACCAACTTGAGTTATAGTCAGCTACTTCTCCAAATCTAGGTGGGTTACAAAACAAAATGTCTAAGAAAGCAAACAGGTGTTTTGAGGTTAAACTACAGAGATCTGAGCTTAGACGTAACAGAGCATGTATCTCCAGGCCTGCCAATGACTATGGCTCATCAATTCCATTTCAATAGAATTTTCAACTCAGCATCGCTGAAATACGTCATCCGCTGAGAGTAGCACACTCAGAATACCTAGAGCAGTTCTCGGGGCTGCGGGAGGCCCCGCCTTTTCTAACGGCCTGATGGGCAGACTTTCTTCACAGGCTTCAACCAAACAACACATGACAACAGTCGGAATGCAGACTCCGAGCTCACGAGAAGCCACTTTCTCTATTCAGCCAGACATCACAGAAAAATGCAAAACTGTAAAAAACGCCACTCTTCTCACTAAATGTTCTTTTGTTTTAGAAAATAGTTATTTCATTAAAAATGACCCTAATTTTCAAACATGTAATGGGTTTACTACTGTTAAGTTTTAAAGAACTTAGTAAGTATCAAACTTTCTTAGTTTTCATCTCTAACGAGGTACATTAAGAGAC